TCTGAACCTGACTGCACACTTTTGATGCAAAGTTCCCTGGCATGGCACACTTTACCATATTTTTGTACGAACTTACTCCGGCAGTCGCTGGTAATACGGAAACCAAAAGTATGGTAAATTAAATGCGCCGTTGTTGCATCTTAAGTCAGTTCAGTCAATCCATTCACAAGAACCTACTTCCCCAAGATTATTTTGACATCCAGCTAAATCTTCCATGAACAAAATATTGTACGAATTTCAAATTTTTCATACTAATTATGGGTCTTTGATAAATATGACACACGGATGTTTGTAAATTACATAACATAAATGACAAAGGAGGTTCAGGGTACCAGAAAGAGTCAAAACGTTGAATTAAGACAGGTTATTTGTTTAAATCTTGTCAGTCAAATCACAATAAAATTCCTATTAAATATTAAAATATTACTAAAATTAACATTTAAATATTTAAAATGATGTTCTCTATCGAAATGTTCGATCTACATTAGATCATCACTTTTTACACGACATGTTTCAGTTCTAAAAGAACCATCTTCAGGTGTATAAAATTATATAAACTTAAATATAATTTCTTAAATGCAACTTTTAGTCAGATGCTTATCAGATTACAAATGATGTTTTCTTACAGATTTTATTGTATTTTTTAATATCGTATTCGAAGTTGTTCTGTATGTACGTCGTGCTTAACATGATTTTGTGTGGGTGAACGTTTTTTTGTTGTTTTTGTATCATCCAGAAATGAAGTTGTGGAGGAGTTACGTCCGTCTGGAATTTTATTGTGATTTGACTGACAAGATTTAAACAAATATATATTTATCACAATATGACGCAAATTTATCATAACACAGGTTATGAAATGCTTCTATAAAAAGTTACAAAGGATACAAATTTAAGAGCACATTATGCTACAAGACTGGTCCAGTCATCATGATACACGAGGCTGTTAAATTTGTGGGCCGTAACCACAGGACAAATCATTGGTCCACCCATCTTACCAGAAAAACTTCATGGTTTTCTGTGCCTTCAATTTCTCCATAAACATTTACCTCAACTGCTGGAGGACATTCCTTTGTGCGCACAAAAACGGATGTGGTTTTTGTATGATGGTGCTCCAGCACACTTCAGTTTAATCGTACAGGAGTCGGGTACGCATTTACCCAGAAGGATGATCCGTCATGGTCCCAAGGCTCCTGTGCCGCGACCACCGGACCTCAATCCGACGGACTTTTACTTGGGGAGTCATATAAGAAATGTGGTCTAAGCCAACACTGTCAACACTTGACTTTAGCGAAGCATATAGGATGCGGCTAACAAGATTTTTTATCATACCTGGGGTGTCTCGATGCATCCAAGCCTCCGACATTATGCTGACACAGCCCAACTGGTGACGTCATAACAAAGAAGTAGAAGTGTCACGTATTCCTTGCGACTGTGAAATCTTAGCTGAAGTTATATTTCGCCACAAAGGATCTCATTTCACGAAACCAAGTGACTATCATCAGACCTGACTGCGAAAAAATTCTGCACTTTGACTATCTCAGGGCTAAATACAGAAGGTAACGCACAATATATCAGTGATGGTGTCTGTGCTTCGATTGTTTGCTCACCCCTAATTAATAAAATAATTAATTCATACTTTTAATACCAAGGGCAACACTTACGGTCAAATCCAAGACCTTTCAATACTCGGCCAGTATACTAACCACAATTGTAGCCCAGGAATAGTTGCCGTTACAAATTTACCTACGTTACACGTGAAGTTATGTCCTATAAAGTTCATTGTTGTTTCATGCGATATGTATAAATTTTAAAGAGAGATTGTAAGTGAACATTTTCAGTTCTTCATGAATTACATACCACTGGTCTTTACTGCCCATAGGTGATGTTCCCAAGGTATTTTCTGGAGAAAGAAAAAGAAGTAAGTCTTATTATTTAAATTAAACCCAGTGAATATGAAAGAATATTATTTCTTATAGAAAACAGATGTAATATACAAAACAATTTTTGATTCTCAAACAAATACGACACAGACCATTCGCAGTGAAGTCTCAATTATCTGACATTCCGTTTTATCCAAAGTGCCATGTTGGAACACTCCATTTTATCGACAGTCAACCCAGGATGCAACAAAATGAATCATGCTCCCCTACCGAATTCTATATTTTACGTAATCAGCTGCTATTAACATTGGCAAGGTTACGATGGTAGCAATAATTTAACAAACGAGAAGACAAAACAGTTTTCGTAAATTCTATGTTATTATTAAATGACACTAAGTATCTCTGAAAGTAAAATTATAGACTGATCACAGAATAATAAACTATGGAAGGAAACGCTCATGCCCTGATTTAAGGTACTATTCCGGTATTAGCTTGGATGAGGAAAATCATAGAAAAAGTCAGGACAGTTGGTTTCTGGGCCCAGATTTGAACCCGTTATCTTCTGAACATGAAGCAATCTAGCTGCAACATTCGGCCATACTTTGTAAATAAATATGTAAAAATTATTTCAATTACGTATTACGAAGATCAACACCACGATACACTGGCGGAGAAACACTGAACTAATCCACGCCATTACGTAATTTATAATGCAATGTGTTCAATGAAGTGCCAGCAGGTACAATGTAGAAAGAGTCCAGGAAAGTGTAACACAAATGGAGTAATAACGTTTTAGAAATAACAGCGATGTGGGGAATCTGTCAGAATCTATAAATCACGTCACACAGATTCACGTAAAAGGAAACTGTGCTGGAGCTGGAGAAATAACAAGGCAAATGTCAGTAGCCTAATAAGGCGAGATGGATATCCTATGCTATCCTCTTGCAACTAAAGGTCTTTTTAGGCGTCTTCGCAACCTTCATGCCAGTTAAAATCGCCCTATCCGTCTTTGCGCAGGAAACAATTCAAGAACATCTGCATGGATTTCCACGTAACTTGGTACTAAAAAACACCATTAAAATTTTACGGCACGTTACAATTTAAAATCGGAAAACAATAATGGGCACTTTACATGAAGACTTGCATGCGTTTAGAGTGCGGAAATGATTGGGTGGGGAATCCTCGTCCGGGGAATCAACCGCCGGGTAATTTTACTTCAGGGATTCCCAGCAAACCGCGCAATCACACTGGGGAATCGTCACAAAACCATCACCCAAAGGCAAGAATTCAAAACGATCAAAGGTCAAATTCTGACCAACGAACACGTATTGTTACGTTATTAATTCATTTCCTAATGTATTTTTAAAAATAAAACCTTGTATAAGTTTGCAATCGAACAATCTTGGCGATAAAAAAGGCCAATATGGATATTCGTAACTGCTAATCTTAATACGAGCATTACTTACACCAGTATCACCATTATACGTAGGCGTTCTTTACAGGACGCGAGAAATTAAGAAAACCCTTATGGTCTATCATGTCCATGTCTGTCGAATTACAATTATAAAACTTGCAATTAAGAAAGCCATTTTAATTAAAGATGCACAAGATGGATTAAGACATCAAAGAAACTATGTACAACTTAACGACGTAAATATTTCATATGATGTAGTCTTATATATCTTTAATACCAAATAGCTTTGGGGAGTTTGTAGTTTTTAACGTAAACATGGCGTATAGATCTTGTAAGCGTGCATTCTCTTAACACTTGTTAAATGTAAGTCAGGGTAACTATGTCTTCAGTCAGGGATATTTGTTAAAAGTCCCGATTGGCATATGGTGCGTCGTTCAAAACTCAAGAGGAATGTGTCTACCCGTGCGTTCAATGTTATATATACATGTAATGTACTAGTGTCGCCTAATAATCCCATTTAGATCGAAAACTCAAGGGTATCAAACCTAACCTCACTTCGTTATTCATTTGTCAGTATTCTTTCGTGTTTTGAAAAATAGTTCCGCCAAGAAAGATGTGATAGGTGTTCGCCAATCCCCTTAAGACATAGATCAGCTATAAAATGTTAGTGACAAGTGGACGACGTCTATATTATTTTCTCGAGAGAAAAATGACGCAGTTCACATCTCAAAAACAGTGGCTTTATTATACATATTGGTAAACTTCTATGAAACAACATGGCACTACAACCCAGAAGACAGCCATCTTCAGACTCACCACCGTCAGAACTCGAAAAACTGGATATTATATTTTTACTGTTCTCTTCAAAAGCACCAAAATAATAAAAAAAAATATGTAAAAAACAGTTTTCAGACAAATTTATAGATGTAATGTCAAACTTACCATTTTCTGGTTTGGAACTTGCATCATCAGAGTCAGACGAAGTTTCTAATTCTCGTCCTGGAATACAGTATTAAAAAAGTTTACTGAATTCACAATCCACAAGCCTGTAATATCTACCGGATCTGTCTTTCAAAATCATAAATTAGGAAAATATTTCCTTCGGATCAGAACACATCAATACAATTGCACCTTTTGGACTTACTTACCTTCTAAAACACTGTGAATACGTTTAGATGACATTCCAAGTAATTCATCCAAACAATGGGATTTTAATTCATCAATTGTTGAATCCTAGAAGAGATATAGGGCAATATACACTACGTAACAAATATCAAGCTCATAAAATTTTCTAAACGAGATGTGTCGTAATTCAATCATTCATACTTTCCTTGAGTGACCATACGTAGCTTTCCTCTACCTTCAATTAACTTCAGTTATACAGGGTGAGTCAGAATTATGTTTACAAACTTCGAGTACGTGTTCCAGGATAAACAAAAAATGTTCCTATGAACGTGGGGTCACAAATGTTTCATTTTCGAAATAATAGCTACAAAAATAAGTTTCAATGTACGCCTACTACTACATTTTCTAGATTTCAAGGTCACAGTCAACTGTACACAAAGTTCAGTTAAATTAGACTGTGATCTTCATTTTATGGACATTTCTCATTCTACAAATCTTACTGGTGTTCATGTACCTTTAGGATAGGAGGAAGCATCGCTCTGAGTTTATCACCTTTGATAACTGAAAACATCTGATTAATCATCTCTTCCCTGTCATTAATATAAAAACCAATTGGATGTAATTCTTCACACAGATTCACGCTTCCTTCACCACTGTCTTCCGCATAATTAATTCCATCCTCCTACAGTAAGAACAAAGTTTAAAATACTATATTAGACAACGAAGAAAAATATACAAAATCAAATCAATATTTTACGAAACAAATTCACTGTTTCGTAGATTCAATTTATGCTACGTTACTACTAACAATTATTTATTTTAATCCGTCTTATCACAATATTTAAAATTTCTTATAATTAAGATAATAAAATATCATTGATGTTCCATATCGATTGATCGATTTACATTTTGGAACATTTAAGTTTGTAAATCTTTTACACCTGAAGATGGTTTTATAAAAACTGAAACATGTTGTGTAAAGGATGTTCCAAAATGTAAATCGATCAATCGATATGGAACATCAATGATATTTTATTATCTTAATTATAAGAAATTTTAAATATTGTGATAAGACGGATTAAAATAAATAATTGTTAGAGATAGAGGCATAGAAATCCATATCTTCATCCCCAAATTAGTCTACGTCATTTTGTTTTGGAATTAAATTTAAATATTTGTCACTACTAGGAAAACATAAATAATGAGATAAAAAGTAGTTTCTAGACCAAGATATGAAGCTGTAAACCACATTCTGTATCCTTCAGCTGATCAAATCAAAGAGGACGAGATTGGTAGGATACGTAGCACGCACATTAACATAATGCATACGAATCGTGCCTCCAGCCACTTATAAATAACTTTTTTGCATTTATTTTCATACAGATAATATAATCTGCATTGGATAAAACTGTTACAGATACCATCTTTCCGTGAGACAGTTCGAGGCATTCTCTTGTAAAAGTCATACAAACGGAATTCAGAAGCCAAAAGTGGACACCAAGACACGAATCATCAAAACTAAATGAAACCTAACCTAACAAAATATCATATTACGTTAATCATGAGCTCGATGGGCAATGGAAGCAGAATACTTTTAAAAATATTGATTTTTACCTCCTCACGAAAGGACCTGTTCACTTTCCTCTTCTTTTTTTGTTTCTTTTCGTGCGTTTTTTTATCTTTCTTGTCCTTGTGTTTGCGAACAGCACCAGACGTCATAGCTATGTAAAAAAAGTAAACACGTCTGTCACTAAAATCATAAAAAAATCTGTCGCTAAATCGACAAGTAACAAAGGCACACTGACTTAAACACATAAAATAAAATGCATAATAGCCAATATCCGCTACGCTTGACTGCAAAAGAGCGCCTTTCGCGGAATGCGGAAGTAATTGTAATCACGTTCTGACGGTGGCAACTCTGGTGGTCAGAAACGTAATGACGACAGGGGTGGCGTCTATGGTGGGGCCTGGAGTCAGGTGGTCGGTTTTGTGTCAGTGTTCGACAGAAATCTAGTTTCAGAAGCAGTAAAGATGTTTTCACGATCAATTTGCTTTGTAAAAATTTTATAACATTTTGTACTTTCAATACGATTTTCAAAAAAAGAAAACGCTGAGATAAACTCCATTACTATCCAACATAAAAAACAGTTCAATCCCGTCAGTTTTGACGGGTTATACTAATTAATTTATAATAGATTACTTTGCGTAATTAGGAAACTATCCCAGAATCTGATAACAAAGAAAACGGAACGTAATTTATTATACTTTAATTTACGTTAACACTTTCAAGCATTTTAAACCTAAACAACACATTAAAGTAGACGTTCATTCAACATAAAGGTCTCTCGTTATACGCGCTTTCACTATCCACGTTTCCACATAACCGAGGGTTAATTTTAGTATCTTGAGGATAATCAATACCCAATCCGCATCCACGGTAAACGCTGCCGCGCACAGGATCACTGATTCACCCCACCATTTTGACTTCGGGGGGGCTACAAATTGAGACCTCACACGGTATATCACTTTATACGTTTAACATTTCATTTTTTTTTTTTTCGTTTTCGATATACGTGACGATTCGCGGGAAATCAACCCCTCCCCCGCGTATAACGAAAGTCATCTGTAAATACCTTAAAATTCGGGAATAATTTCTCTCCTCTCCAGGTAACGCGGAAGAATTTACCATTAAGTAATACTCATCACCTTGTAAGGCCTAATGTTATGTGTCGGATAAATCTAACGTCAGCACAGAGAAAATAATACGTATTTTAAACCACAAATAAACCATCTCGGCAATTCAAAAGTAAACAGACAAACAAATGTATTATACATGTATGTCGTTTAGTTTTTGTTAAAGTTTGTCCCGCTACACGCCACGTAGGCGCTTGGGGGGAGAGACTGTATAGCTCCTACTCATTCTTGACCTCGGCACTAGATGAGGGTGAGTGGTCAGCATCACAACCCGGCCGGCTTTACCCCCGGGAAAGGATCCCGGTACCCATTGGATAGGAGGCTGGGTGGGCCCCAGAGCCGGTCTGGACACAGAGGCTAGAGGGAAAAAAAAAAAAATCATCTGCCCCCATCGGGGATCGAACCCCGGCCGTCCAGTCACTATACTGACTGAGCTACCCTGGCTCGTGTTTATACTTCACACGTTGGCTAAAAAACTAATAGATGTACCAGATGGCAAGAATAAACATAGGATGTAATTGTTTATTTAATCAAAATACTTTTAGACACCTCAAGATGACATGAAAATCAAACAAAACGGTACTGGATCACGATTCGAATGCCATTAACAGAACAGAAAAATTAACGTTACAGTGTTTTGTTAACTGGACAAATAAAATGGATGCTAACGACAGCTGGCAGTGGATATAGGGAAGGTTTGACGGCAGCTGATAACTTCCGCTCCCCACATCCCACAAGTGTCATCCCTTGTTACAATTTGCATTAATGTTAACACTCCTGGTATACGTTAATACATGTTTCAGGAATCTAACACTTTGAATTTTTGTCTTACGCAAGGAAATGACGTTTTAGCAGACTATTACGTCCATGAGATCATTTATTATTATTACTTAGTGTTCTGTCTGACGACAGGTCCATATGAACAGGATCCTTCCATCCTTTTCTCGGACTGGGACCTGTTCATATACGTTCTTGGCAGATGATCCAGAAGTGGTTTGCCATTGCCTTCTTCTGTGTGTGAATGGAGTAATTGTTGGGATGCCACGGAGGAAAACTCCGTGTTGCCTAGACCACGGCCTTGCCCAACACAAGTTATAAATTCGGGCACCGCTGGGAATCGAACCCGAGACCCCAGGATTACAAGCCCAGCGTTCTAACCGCTAGACCACCGTGGCTACAGACCATGAAAATATTATTCAAAGCAAACCGCAATGCTAATATCACGAATATGTACGTTACCTATACGTATATTAGTAAGAGTCCAAGTTAGTATCTAACAATTATTATATCGAAAACTGCAATTTGTATGAATAGACTAATACAAGATAAATGTTTTTTATTATAGGCTGCATCTGCTGTATATTTTCTCTCTCTCTCGATATACTCAATATGTATCACACAAAACTATCGGATCAAACAAATATATGTAAAGTGGTAATTACTTTTTTTCAATCTAACCCACTTCCAAATACTGACGACATGTCTGTTCTATGTGATGACGTTGGTATAAAATATTACTGGATAAAAGTCGTAATACTCCGTACAACAAATTTCCGTTACGAAAATAATTTCAAAATCTCTGAAACCATTAAAAATACCAGTACGTATTTTGGGAAGACAAATTCATATAAAACGCCAGTCTGTTACGAGCTGAAGTCTATAGTATCTCTAATAATGGCTCGAAGTTTAGAAACGATTCGACTATCGATAAAGAAACGGAACATGTTGGAAAATATAAAATGAAATTATAAGAGCAGATTGTGTGTTTTATCCCAAGCAGACGAGAAATGACGTGATAGCACAGGTGTCTCGCCACCTGCTTCAATATAACACAGCATGCGTGAGTCAATTATATTACATGTGCTGGTATCAGAATTACAATTTAAAACCAAAATAAATAAACCATCCAAACGGAACTCAAACAAAGCATCTGTGAAATCCAAACAGAATGACAATGGACCCACAAGTGAGACACTGTTTTGTAATTATAATGTACCAGCATTACTACGCACATAATTTTTTTTCACAACCAAAGCCGAAACTCGTTTACATGATACTGAAGAATCCAGTCCGTACCGAAAAGAAAACACCACATTTTACCTTTATAAATATAAAATAGTTATCGCGATTTAAGGAAATTATCTTGTTCACAGTAATAATCATAAATAAAAAATAAAAAGTTGCTGATTGTTGAAGTGTGATAGTTACAATTATGCTTTAAATATGAAATAAATACCAACCATCAAGTCAACTAACTCCTTCGATCGGATGAGAATTCGTCTTGAGAAGCTAACAATCCCTTATCTCCTGCCACATGAATCCAGTTCATGACGTCATACCTTATTTAACGATTTTCTGCTAAAGTGTGTACTTTGTCTTTCTAAGCCCACAAATAAATGTAATATTCAGAAATATTATGGTTGCCGAATTAATTTTTCATAAATTGTAGTCATAGTTGGTTCCTTTTCTTCTGCATTCTCTCTTCAACGAATTGGATTTTTTTTAAAAAAAGACGTTAAAAGCACAAGATTCTAAAACCAACGCTAGTGTACGAAATTAATTGAAACAGTAATTCACTTTTACTGATTCCGAACGTGTACGTATTATTTTGTTGGGTAAGCCTTAGACCTGGACCAATCTAGCATAATCAGAATTCATCTTCCAAAACATTCTAGTTTTTATAATTTAGACGATGGGACAAAGTCCAAAATAATAATCTTACATATTATAACGCACCATCGCCAACAAATCTTCAGACTTCGACAAATATATATTTTTTATTTACTTGAGCAAAATTTCTGAAGAGATCATAGTTGATTATTATGAACTGACGAAGACACTCTGTAGCCGTCCAAAGACAATTTCAACAGCTTTGGCTTATACATGAGATCTACAAGTTAATTTACATAATACGGCTATGAAGTAAATCAGAATGTACATCTGGTAATTCATAAATTAACAACTGTTACGTTTATTGCATCACATACAGGATTAAACATTTCAATGTCTTCACTAGATACACGTCGTCAACGTAATGTTTCTTCTAGAACAACATATAATTGTTGTTAAGTAAAAACGTATTGGGTAATTCTGTAATGACCGTCTACTACCAGCAATTAATATCTGAATATTCGTCTATATTTTTTTAACAGAAAATGCTCTTAATCACTCTGATACAAAGACAGAAATAACCTTAAAACGACAAATATGCCTAACCAGTCAGTTATCATCCAATCACTTCGAGGGAAACAACCTAGAACAGAAATGTCGCGTACGCCTATAACAAAAGCAGGTACATCAGATAATGGGCGATCCTCAACATAATATTGGTTATACGGTCATCAAATACATGGGTGACCTTGGGCTCGGTCATCCACTGAACGATTTCTGAACTTCCCTTGCCTTCAGTTCAACTTTAACCCACGTCCCCATAACTATTTTAGTCAATGCAAGCAAACACTCATCCAGGCCTTGAAAAAAAAAATTTCTTCACCTTTTACAGTTTTCCGTAACATTCCCCGCCTTCTAATTTTTTATAGGTTATGGAACCTATCGCGTTCTGTGTGACCAGTAACGAAAACCGGAGTACCCCTGAAATTCTGAAAAGTCAGTGCAAGTGATTGGTATAATGATTCAGCCACTGTCATGGACAGCTTTCAGCAGGCTATTTAAAAGAAAATGTTTTCCGTTTGGCAGTATATCGAGGGCCTATTGCACTAGAAGAATGGCTAGCACAACATTTTTGACGGGCTCTCCCAGGGTATTTTGAACAGATTACATGTTTTATTATAACAACAACTCTTCAGTCTTCTGGTGGAGAAAGATTACTGAGATGCCAAGACAAAGCAAAATGGAATCTTACATAACAAGTTACCGATTTCCAATGAGAATGATGACGCATCTTATGTACTTAAAACACAACTTGTCAATTACAATGTAGAATACAAGCTATACATATATAACATATTATTTCTATAGGGTTCAACTCAAATAGCACCATCATACTCGAAATGGCTTTATCCCCGCA